AAAAAAAAAAAAAAAAAGTGCTTCAGTACATGGTTTATATGACTATGAATGTGACAGGAAAATGCGAGTTAGGCCTGGCACAAGTGCTAACTATAGGGCACTTTTCAGATGGTACATTTATTTCTCTTGCACAGGATGGCTTTGGTTGTATTTGTTTCACTCTTTCTGGCTTTTATCTACCCCCTCCCCCTTGCATTCCTCAGCCTTTACTAAGACAACCCTGGCAATTTTCTTCTTTAGCAGCCAGTGTCTCTCCTGTAAGAGTCATAATAAAAGTAATATTATTTCAATATCAGTTCTTCAAATATCAGCTGCCAAGTGAGCCCCATTAGTTGGGGTCAGCCTCTTTCCGCTTTCATTTCAGCTGTGCTTTGACTTCCAAATGTTCAATTCCTTAACCTCAGCCATCATCCATTTTTCAAATGGCTAAAATCCTTAAGACTTCTAGCTGATGGGTATTTTGAAGCAGAGTTTGAATACTTTGTTTCTGGGCTTGAGAATAGAGCCACAGGCTTTGGCAGGGTTGCACAGGCTGTTGGACAGAGAGACTCTCCTGAAGAGTTTCTAGCCATCCTCCCATCTGTCTCTCTCCTATCTTCCCTGTCTGCCTTTGGAAATCTTTTTTACATGTTGAGGGAAAAACAACTTCCTTGTCTTTTGGCTAAGATCAATTAAGCCTCATGTGTTGGGAAACATGTGACATGGATTTTTGCAATGGGGGTTAGGAAGGAACTTGCTTTATATACTTGGTCCTCTACATTTCAGGGCCCCACCCCCATCTGCCTGCCTGCATGTGAGTGTAAAGTACTCAAGTCTCGTGGCCTCACATGGTTATTGGCCTCTGGACTGCTGAACTGCTTTTTTTTCTTTGCTTTGTCCCAGTCTTCTCTTGAAGGCTGAATTCTTCTTGAAAAAGTATATATTTTACATTCCTATGGTAAATATTAACTTTTACATTTATCGACACACATTGTAGGATCTGAGGCTCTCTAGGTACCTCTAGCCTCTTTTTCTATAGTCCTTTGTTTTCCTGTCCTCCATCCCCTTAGATTTATCACTTTATATTTTGGTTGAACATTTATAAGTCTTGGTTTGTTTTCCTGCATAAACAGCTCTTTATCTTGATATAATACAGTGTTGTTTAGATTCCTTTTCATTTTTATCTGTTTATCTTCACATGCTACTTTTGTTGAATTATTTATAATATAGAGGGGAAATTTTAGGGCTTGATTGATATAGTTCATTCACTCATTTACCAAACAGTTATGAAGTGCCTACTATTTGCTTATCTCTGAACAGGCATGTTCATCAACAAATAGCACAAGGCCTCTGCCACTTGTTTTCAAGGGCAAGCAGACGTCCAGACAAGGAAATGTAATAAACAAATGTGACATGAGTTATAGCAGAGGCAATTGAATGGTGAAGGTAAAGTAATTTTGTCCAGGGAGTTGAGAAAAGCTGTCACTTGAGCTAGGTCTTGAATGAATAGGAGCTCATGAGGTTGAGTGGCAGAACAGGAAGGGCCAAACAGCAGAGGAATGGCATGTGCAAGACACAGAGGCCCGAAAAAGCCTGGTGTGTTGTGAGACTAGCAGGTGTTTGAAGGCTGATATGGCTGGAGGCTAGTGCCTGTGGAAGAGGTGGTGTCTGATAAGATTGGGGAGGTAGGCTGTTTGCTTCTTTATGCATACAGAAAGAATTGGCTTCAGCTTTCTGGAGCCATGGGCGGCTGTGAGTGAGACACTGTTTCTAGAGGGTATTATCATCTCAAGGAGAGCTTCTGATCCCACAGTTCTCAACCTTGAGCTTTCATGGTATGGACAAAGTCCATTAAGAACCCCTGGTTGGCACTTCTTATCTGGCATATCCAGGGCACCTTGGACCTCTTACCATCTTTGAGCACTGGTATGAACCTCAACCTCCAGCCACTTGCCTGCCTCCCCCTAGGAGCTGGTTCCAGCTTTCCCAGGGGGGGACAAGGATGGATGCTTTGGGATACAGAAGGGGAATAGCAGAGGATGAGCCTTTTCACCCCCTTTTCTTTCTGCTATTACTTCAGATCTTGGCTTCTGCTTTCTTCCAAATACACAGCAATACTGGCTCCCAGCCTAGGTGGGAGAGGGAGAAAGAACTGATTTCCTTCAGCTCCTCTCTGAAAATAGCCTAGCTGGCACTGCTCAGGAACAAGCAGTTCCTGAGAGTGTTGGCACCTCATAGTGTTGATGTCTGGCAGTCCTTGCTGTGAACCTTGTCTCTGCCCTGCTAACCCTCTATCCAAGGATCTCTGTGGGGGGGAATTCGGGAGGTCTTCAAAGCCTCTGCAATGCCAACTGCCTCCAAGGCTTCACATGGTGAAGTGACAGGGAGGTTGGGGAACCCGGGATAATCTGTGGGAGGCCCTGCAAGGTGGGGAAGAGTCTGGCCATGGCACCTTCTGGTCTGTTCTAGAAAAGGTGGGGTCCTCTGAGGCCCAGCTCTGGAATGTTCACTACAGCCCCATCAGTCTCTCCCGGATGTCTGATTCATAGCTGCCGGACATCCCGGAGCTAGCGACTGGGTGGGGGTAGGGTAGAAGGGGGGTGTCAACCTCAACTTTCCTGTCCAAACATATTCGTTTTAAAGCCATCATGAAAAAGACTGGATTCGTTAATTAGGTAAAGTTAATGAAGCAAAGTATTGTAGCGAGTGCTCAATAGTTGCTGCATGAGGAATTACTTGAAATAAAGTCAATATGAGTCTTGAAAAACGAGGGATGCAGAGGGGGTCTGGCGCCAAGCCCCAGAGGCTCGAGAGGGCAAAGTTTGGTGCGGGGGAAGGCAGAAGTTGGGTCTGGTTTGCTCTGAGAGTGTAAGTGGCCGTGTGAAGTTGGGAAGACCGGGCCGTGGGCCAGGGGAAAATGGAAGATGGTGTCGGGGTAGTCACTAGACTGCTGAGTGGGCGAACAGGGGCCTCGGGATCCGGGGCGGCACAAATCACACACTTTGTTCACCTAAAGGTGGCTTCCTGCTAAGCCCTCCCAGCGTCAGGCTGGAAAGAACCTTAGGGGTAGACAGGTTCGAGATGAGACACTGGACTTCGCCCCGGGCGGAAGCGAGTTCCCATTACTCCCCTGCGCCGCCCATTGCGGCTGCGGCCAAGAGCAATCCCCGACGTTCCACTTTAAGGGGCGGGCCAGGCCCGGGCGGGGCTCAACCACTTCCCAGGGGCCGCGCCGCCGCCGGGCAGAAGCGGTAGCGGAAGCGGCGCGGAATCACCGGGGCCTGTAGGCTTGGAAAGGCATCGAGCCGCCACCTGATCGCAGGCTGCGTTGTGTCATCGGTTCCGCAGGCGCTATGAGCCAGGACACCGAGGTGGATATGAAGGAGGTGGAGCTGAATGAGCTAGAACCGGAGAAGCAGCCGATGAACGCGGCGTCGGAGGCGGCCATGGCCATGGCGGTGGCGGGCGCCGAGAAAAACGGTCTGGTGAAGATCAAGGTGGCCGAAGACGAGGCGGAGACGGCGGCCGCGGCCAAGTTCACTGGCCTGTCCAAGGAGGAGCTGCTGAAGGTGGCGGGCAGCCCCGCCTGGGTGCGCACCCGCTGGGCGCTGCTGGTGCTCTTCTGGCTCGGCTGGCTCGGCATGCTGGCGGGCGCCGTGGTCATCATCGTGCGGGCGCCGCGCTGTCGCGAGCTGCCCGTCCAGCGGTGGTGGCACACGGGCGCCCTCTACCGCATTGGCGACCTTCAGGCCTTCCAGGGCCGCGACTCGGGCAACCTAGCCGGTGAGTGCAGCGCGCCCCCGGGGGCTTTAATCTGGTCACCTGCGCCGACCCCCTCCCCCGTCCTCGGGTGGACTTTGGCGGTTCTTCACCCCGTCCAAGTCCTTCCCTCCTTTCTTTGAAGAAAACCGACCCCGCCCCCACTCTTTCACGAGGGTGGCTGACTCAGCACCCTCGCTTTCCCAGCAGCGCCGGGAGCCAGTCACAACTGGTTTCTGAAGTAATGTACCAGGCCCCTTACATCAGCTGCTCGGAATCTCCTGATCTAGCTTTATCCGCAGCCACCCAGCCCCCACCCTTGGGCTCGGGGAGAGGATAGAGTGGGGGAGATCATGGGCCTCACTTGTTAACCCAGCCCCCCCATTTCAGGTCTGAAGGGGCATCTTGACTACCTGAGCACTCTGAAGGTGAGGGGCTTTGTGCTGGGCCCAATTCACAAGAACCAGAAGGATGATGTCGCTGAGACCGACTTGCTACAGATCGACCCCAGTCTTGGCTCCAAGGAAGATTTTGGCAGTCTCCTGCAATCGGCCAAGAAAAAGAGTAGGTGTCCTGGGCTTCCCAAGGAAGCAGCTACTAAGGGCTTGGCCTTCTGGCCAGAGGAAGAGCAAGATAGGACATTTGTCTGGTTTACTCCTAACTGGCTCAGTTTTCCTAGGGCAGGTACAAGGGAAGTTTGTTAGGCTTTTTCCTACAATGAGTTGGTGTGTGGTTCAGGGGCTTTCTACTTGCTGTGTAATCTTGGCAGGTCATTTAACTTATGGGCTTTAGTGTCCATATTTGCAAAATGTAGGCTTTTACTAAATCAGTGGTTTTTTTTTTTTTTTTTTTTTGCATGAATGTATTTCCATAGCATATTATCCTTTCCTTCTTAAAGAAGTTATCTGTTTACTGGTACCTTAATATTAGGTCTCTTATAGTTCATGTTGCTATATAGTATAATGGCAACTTTAAGAAATCTAATTGTTTGCTACTTATATATAGGAAAGGAATTGTTTTTGTGTATTGCTTTGTGTCTAGTATTTTACTGAACTCTTTTATTCTAATAATTTGTAGATTCACTTTGATTTTCTATATAGATTTTTATTTTCTAGAAGTAGGGAAAAACATTTACGTCTTCTTTTCAAAATCAGATGTTAGTTGCCTATAAAAGTGTTTTGTA